TATGCTAATCAGTTAATAAGGAAGATCATGCTAAATTTGAGTGTGCTAATTTATGTACATTTATAGTATAGTTCGTTAGTTATGTGAGGCTGAAAAGTGAGCTTATATATAGTTGCCTTTCCCTTAATCCTTTGCTGAGTTCGCATGCAGTACCTATAATACAGATATAAATAATCCTTAATTGAAGTATTTTGTAGTGTCCCATATTAATTTACATGAAGTTTGTTGTAAATAAAATTATTATGTCCATCTCTATGAGTTGCATGTTGGCAAGTAATCTAAAGGCCAGCCGGGCCTTGAGTGGATTTATAAGCAACAAAAAGCTTTTACTCTGTTAAATGCAGGAGTTAATTGTCAAGCATTGCTCATGCTCAAACTCGAAACTTTTTCATGTTTTTAATATTGCTTAGATTCGATCTTCAGCAAAATAACTTTACCAACAAAAAGTCCTTTTTGGCAGCAATTTTATTTCTGACATTTAATGCTTTTCCATTTAAGCACATCCAGAGAGCTGGAAAGGTTTGGTATCAAATATTCATCATTTCAACTGAAAATAAGTTGTTCTGCTTTTCTAAAAATTTTAAATCTTCTAATGATAGAGGATATTACATTTTTCTTGTATCGAGATATAATAATCCCCGGAGGACTGAAACGCATTCATTATGGATGACGGTTTCCATGTTTTAATGTTGTTGCAAAATTGTTGATACAAATAATCATATTGCCGACTTGTATATGAACAGAAATAGAACTTATTTGTCTAGACCACATGAGTTGTAACCTCTAGGGGAGATGTCCATGAGCATAGATTTGTCACACTGTGTCTGTTTGACTTCATCTCAATTTGTATTTTCTCCTCTAACTATGGAACTACAGTATCTGAGATAGAGACTTTTTTATTCAGTCATGGTAGGTTGCAGCTTGTCAGATCATATTTATTAAGGTTTAATTATATCTTTTATCATAAGTATGTATTGAAAAATTTTGAAACCCTTTCAATGTACTAAACATTTCCTGCTTTGCAATATATGCCTTTGCTTCAACTAATATCAGAAAGTACTTGGTTCAATGTAAGCATGCATATAGATGTCACCCAAACTTCATTGATTTTAACGTATGTACAGCATGTCTGCCATCTGCAAGTGGCAGTTATAGGGTGTACACTTATCCAAAACTTACAATTTAATTAAAAGTGGAAGAATCTCTGAAACATAATTTAGATCTATGTCTCCATGTGGGAATGATTTACAAACTTCACACAAAATACCCAGGTAGACTCTTCGCATAATTCTGAAGTCATCGATGGAATGATAAATTGATAGAATAGGTACAGGCAATGATTTCTGAATCTCTTCGGTACAAACGGAGACTAGGGACTTTAAAGCTGTATATCATTAGGAACATTTCCCATCAGGCAAGAATATCATCAATGCCGTGTTTGCCTATTGTCAACTATCAGTGTGCTTATAGATTAATTGTTATAGCTGGGACCTGATGTCTTTGAGCAAGAAATACTTTTGATTCTCTTTTCAATTTTTGTTTTCTTTCTGATATTTTTAAAAATTTCATTGAGGAATGATTATTATTATCAAAAAATCCTTTGAATGTACATGTAATTTGATTTTAGTTGCTTGAAATAACTTTTTGTTAATAGTAATACGGTTGAACTTTGGTATCTCGAACAATTGGATATCTCGAATACCATGGACATGTCGAAGTGATTTGGAAGTCCTAAAAATGTATTTCTTAAGTATTTTACCCTCGATATCTCGAACCCTCAGATAACTTGAAGTTTTTTATTGGTCCCAAGTTTGAGATGATGAGGTTTGTCTGTACTATATATCCATATAAACAGTTACAATAGACAAAAACTGATACAATAAAACATGCTTATAGTATATTGACACTTACAACAAAGTGATTTTCATTCCCTGTGACTTTAAAATATATTGTGAACTTAACATGCAGATACAATAAATTATGTTCATAAAGAAGCAAAATAGTCCATCCCTGGCACTTTGTTATGAGAATGTTTTACGGTATGTCATTGATGTATATTCCTTGTTAATAACTAATAATGATAAACAGTTTCAGAGTTGCTAGTCTGCCTTTAAATCATAAAGATGCAGATATAAGTGAGGGTTTTACATCCTATACGAATGTTGCCCCAAACATCTTATAGTTAATGGTCAGTCTTCGTAAAATAGATATAATCACTATTTCTTCTAATTGCTGTACCAGGATGATTACTGATGTTAAGACCTTGACAAATCATTGAACTTCATATAGCAGACTGGTTTTTTTTTCAGAATCAGCTTCATATGTGCAAACTTGTTTGTTTGACAACTGTTGTAAGCATTTTATTTTCAAAGTGAATTGCCAGGGACCAGCAATTTTGATTCATTATAAACATAATTGACGTAATATCCAATAAGTTCATTATAAATTTTAAAACTACAGGAAATGAAAATCATTTTGCCATGAGTGTATATTCATTAGAAGCACGTTTGCTGTAACTGTATTTTACTGTAATTGTATAAAAAAAAAATTTTGACAATCATTGTAATAATTTTTACAAGGAAAGGATTGAACTTGTATCCAGTCCTTTTGTGATACAATAAAAATATATTGTTCAAATCATTGAAACAAATCTTATCAAAGTTCCCTCAAGTACTGGAGAGTTAGTCAATTTAGTTAATTATTTTGGGTTTGTTTTCTTCCTATTTTCAAATTGATTTATTTATGATAAGAACTGCAAGGAATATGTTGAGCATTTCATTTGTCTGCAGGGTTTTTAAGGTCAAAGGAATTGCATGTAAATTACAACTGTTTGTGATGGAGTCTTAATTGATTCATAAACACTTTCCTGTTGATGAAAGAATCCAAGAAATGACTTAGTAAATGTAAACTTGTAGTACGGTACTTTTATGACAAAAATATTGCTTTGAAACAGATACACATCTCATAAATGCAAAAGTTAATTGCATATATGCATTGTAAACATAGTGACATTGCTTCAAGAATGAAAATTGATTATTTATTGAACTCCAATAAGATGGCACCACAAGTAAAAGTTAGGGCGGAATTATCGACTGTATTTCATTAAACTACCGACAGTCAAGCAGTTGAAAACTATTTGTAAAATACCGTAGGGGTTGCATTGTGTAATGGGAAAATTGATATTTACTATCATGTAAGTCTGTTGCCTAAAATGGCTCTAAGTGATAAATGTGGCATATTACCACAGATTAATGCACTTACACCTCTAGTTATTATGTTGGAGTGGTGGGGATTATATTGATCCATCTCACTAGGCACCTGGTTAATTGTAATTAGACATGAATCATATCAAACTGTTTGCATTTGTTTGTGATGCAGTTGCTTTAATGTCTCTTTTCTAGGTCTCTATATGCAATTGGTAATATAACTGCGACAAGTAATTGCCCCCCCCCCATTTTCACCACCAGGTTTTTTTTGTCCCAGGTGACCTGAAAGAAAAATCAGCATTTGAATCGCTGAACACCTAAATAATATGGTTATTATTAAAGGGAGCCATTATTTTAACAATTATCGGTATTGATTGAAAACCATTAGAATTCTTTCTGGAGTTCTTTGTAACACCGGGTTGAGGATGTCGTTGGCACACTTTACCATGTTGTTTGGTGATGCAAAGGTCTTTGAAGACAGATGACATCAAATTGATTTTTTTGGGAACAAAAAGTTTGCAGCTCAGTTTATTCATGTTCAATTCTCCCTCCCTACTTAAACATTCTATTGGAAATTATAGTTATTAACTGTGTATATGTACTGAAAATGAAAATTATTTATTGAATTGGCATTTATTATTAATTAATGCTTTCTAATGAGAAAAATGAGGTCAGGTGACAACCACCTGTGACATGTTGTAGAGGACTGATTTTCATTCACATACAACAGAGAGGAAGATCTGATTTTCACAGTTTGGTGGCAAACTTGGATGTGTGTATAATAGGTGGCATCAGACTCTCTCATTGAATTTATTTACTCTAAATGGAGATAACTAGACATTGCTTGGCCAGATTGGAATGCCAGGGGTCAAATGGAATTTGTCAACAATTTGTTGCTGTTGTGCCACAATGATTGGAGGTGTTACTTGACACATTATTTTACTTTCGAAATTGTTGTGCAATAATTATAATGGGACAGATGTGTTCCTGTACAAGAACTAGTGGACCCCAGCGTAGTGAGACTTTTCTTTTGCCATATCTTAACAACAGTATTAATGTGAGTGGCATTATAATGAAGGACAATTGTTTCAGGGCAGATTATTTAAATTTTGTAAACACTCCACTCCAAGAGGATTCAGTTGGGAGACAAGTGTATATTCTGTATATAATCTCAACCTGTGTAGAATAGATTCTAATGAAGTAAATTTATGTGAATTGTTTAAAATTGTTTAAAACTTTAGGAGCAGTTGAAATTCAAACACCACAAAAGTCCGTTCTGGAACATTTTTTGACGTCTAAGTTTTTTTTTTCTTTTTAGCAATTTGTTAATCACCATGATTCATTGAAAAACAATTACTTCCAAGTCTGACTAAATGTTAATTTAATTGGTGCCAAAATAGGATGGAATTAATGCTGAGGATTTCAGGGTAGATGAAAAAAATAACCTAACTTTTTCTAATATATTTTAAATTAATCTTGCTGGGGGGGGGGGGGGTGGCAAAAAGACCATGTCTAACATTGAATCCAACTCTTAAGCTAATGTGATTACAGTAGCATAATAGAGTAATAAATGGCATGATGAATAGAAGTGAATTAATTGACTAGGATAAGATATAAGACTTTTCTTTATGGAGGTTCCACATTTTGTCAAAAACGACTTTTTTTGCAGATCATGACTGAAATTGGAAATTCCCATATTGAAAGAAAGAAAGAAAAAATTTATATGATACATTTTGTTTTTAAATACAGGTCTTCATTATTGAGAGTGTACATCCTGTTTTTATGTCTTTTTAGGTTAGTGAGGAGTGTAACATTTTACGGCTAAATCTTTCTGAAGCCCAGCATGAATGTGACCAAGCCAGACACGAGCGAAGCACCCTCCAGGTCAAAGTAGGAAACCTTGAGGAAACCATCAAAGTAAGTAAAACTTTGGAACTTTCAATTTTAGTATATAATCAGTTTATAATTTTAAGATCTTTTATGTGATTGGGGAGAAAATTTGTGAACTGCAGCAAGTGGTGTATTTTTATGATTTTGTTAATGGATTGGATTGGGTGGGGGTTAGTCTAAACAGCCAAATGTGTCTAAATTAGACAAACAGTTTACTTGATTATTAATAATATCCAGTATTCAGGATACAGTGAAATCACTAATTTTTGTAGGGTTTAATTTTTGTTGTTTTCATGGTATGAGGATACCTACGAATTCATGTCTTCCACAAAATGTAAAATTTCAAAATAAATAACAGCTATGCACTTATTCATCTACAAAATCAAATCCCCATGAACCAATATATTTTCCTCAAACCAGGAAAATTTGACCCCATGAAAATAATTGATTTTACAGTATATAAAATGACAACAAAAATGTTTTGATTGCTTTATAGTCAAATAAAACAAGCTACTCTGAAGTATTAAAGATCAGGAAAGTTTTGTTCTTTTAAAAGATAATGTCAATAGCACAAAATTAACTTTTTTTCCCTTCGATTCTCTGTTTTTCATGTAAAAACCATTCTAAATATAGACCAGGTGCCATACTGACTCCACAGCAATTACTTTTGATAAATATAAAACAGAAATCGTGATCAATTATATAAAAATAATTGGAAAGCTATTTTTCCTAGAGACACGATTTATCATGGCATAGATTTATCCATTTATCCACTAGGGAATCAAAAAAACCTCTAGACAAGTTTTTATTATGGCTTAGCATTTATCCAGTAGGTCGTCAAAAATGCCCGCAGACCTCTGGTATTTTCAGCAGTCTAGGTTTTCTCCAAAGCCTCTTTAATGGGTTTCTGTGTATTTTACTTCCTTGATTTGAATCTTTCTTTACTTTTACATATTCATAGGTTACAAATCCTTGGAAGAAGACTTGCATGTAGATCACTTGTTATATTCTTCTTCTCCAAATCTGAGCACAAATACCCCCTAATCTTAACAAAATGGACACTTCACACAGAAATGATAGAACAGAGGAAATATTGTTCAACATACAGAGATAGAAAAAGCAACTGTTTTTTATGGTATATTGAGACACAAGTGCCTAAGTTATAGAATAATCATTGTAATATTGATTAAAGCATATATAGAGAATGTTTATGAGGAAAGATAAGGAAGAAGTATCGGTAGATAAACTGTGTCAGAATTCAATCACTGGACTAGAGCTACTGATATTGTGTATAGAAATTGGATTCAGATTGAGGAATTCATTTAAACTTGGAATGCACTCTTGTGTTTACTTCTATTGTGCATAAATACCTATAAATCAATTAAAATTATCACACTCAAATTAGAAAAAAAATGTCTTCCCAAAATGTATTTATCATGTATGGAATTCCACAAATAGAAACACACAATAAAGAAAAGAAATATATTGCTAAATTTGGGCTCCATATGATGTCAGCCATTCCTAAGGGAGGAGAATGTATGCTGCCATTACTTGAGGCTATTTACACATGAGCAGATCGTCTGTACCTTTAGTTGTAATTATCGTTCATTTAAAACTCCTTAAAAGTGCTCCATTGATCCTTATGCTTTCCGATACCTTGCTTTGATATTCCAGCCGGAAATATTGGCCATTGTCAGCATGTGTCTCGTAATTCCCCATTGTCTGAATCTTTGATTTAATTCTAGAGTTAATAAATTGGAATTCTTTTCATTTCTCAGAATCTAAAGGAATCTGCAGATCGTCTGCAGGAACTAGAGAATGAGCATCAGTCAACACTACAGCAATTACATGATAAAAGTAACCAAATCCAGTCATTACAGCAGGTATGTAATACAACACTACAGCAATTACATGACAAAAGTAACCAAATAACATCATTACAACAGTTATGTAATACAACACTACAGCAATTACATGATAAAAGTAACCAAATCCAGTCATTACAGCAGGTATGTAATACAACACTACAGCAATTACATGATAAAAGTAACCAAATCCAGTCATTACAGCAGGTATGTAATACAACACTACAGCAATTACATGACAAAAGTAACCAAATCCAGTCATTACAGCAGGTATGTAATACAACACTACAGCAATTACATGATAAAAGTAACCAAATCCAGTCATTACAGCAGGTATGTAATACAACACTACAGCAATTACATGACAAAAGTAACCAAATAACATCATTACAACAGTTATGTAATACAACACTACAGCAATTACATGATAAAAGTAACCAAATCCAGTCATTACAGCAGTTATGTAATTCAACACTACAAAAATAACATGACAAAAGTAACCAAATCCAGTCATTACAGCAGGTATGTAATACAACACTACAGCAATTACATGACAAATGTAACCCAATCCAGTCATTACAACAGGTATGTAATACAATTCTACAGCAATTAAATGACAAGTGCAAGCAACTTTATTCATTACATATAACATGTAATACAATGCAACAACAATTACATTATCACCACTTGAGTACTAAGTAATGCTTCATTATGCATTTTGATCATCTTATGCCATATATTTCTTAAGATTTTTATAAAAGATATGAAAATATTTGATTTTTATATTTAAAAACAACAAGCTATAGAGTTTATTTCATAATGTCACTTCATAAATTTTACACCAAATTAAACTGCTAGCAGGTTTCAGATAGCTCAATACACATTTTTCCTAGATTTCATGAATAATAAATAACCAGCTTAATTGTCAGTGTTTGGTTTATGAAATTACAATTTGCTATACTAACGATTAAGCTTTTTCTCTGCAGGTTACTAGTATGACCAATTTATGTTTAATGTTTGAATGTCATTAGTGGCCAAGAAGCCAGGAATTAAGATTGCTTGGATGAAAGTGGTAATTTCATCTGATTTCTTCTTTATTTCAGGCTCAACAGGATGCCAAAGAGGAATATGATAAAGCCCTGCACTCTCTAAAGGTAATCAATAAACTTCTCTTAAATTTCATAAATATTCATGAGTCTGGTTACCACTCTTTTCATCTTCTTCATGAATGTGTTTTACACAGGGATGAAAGCAACTGTTTAAATTGTGGTAATTATAGTTTTCTCAGAGTGTTTGAGATGGGTGATTTACTTTGCGTTAATTATGTATCTAGGTGTCATATTCTTCTGGTCAATAAATATTACTTTTATACTGCTGCATTCAAACAAATTTCATTGTGGTTGACTTACTGACACAAAATATTGCAATTTTGATATGATAAAGAGGTAACTTGATTGGAATTATATATAAAGTGGCTTAGAATACTATATACTTATTCAGTACAGTAAAGTCACAAATAGAGAGCAGTGATATTCTACATACAGCAAAACACACTTATAATGAAGTGCCAGGGACAGACAATTTTGCTTCGTTATAAAAGTATTAATTGTATCCATTAAGATAACGCAATATATTCTAAAGCCACAGGGATTGAGAATCACTTCGCTGTAAGTGTCAATTCATTATAAGCATGTTTTACTGTATCTGTTTTAAATGCTACCTTTAAGCTTGCCCCTCTGTATTTGGTAGTCTAAGATAGGTTTGATATATAGCAAATAACCTTTAACTTGAACTTGCAGGGTCGTGTTACTGAACTTCAGCAAAAGTGTCATGAACAGGATGAGAGACATCAGGAACTGACACAAGAACTGACAACACTAAGATCAGCAGCTGGCAAAAACAACTTCAAACACCCACCCAATCATAGTCCATCTCATTATAAAGACTTAGCCAATCACAGCCCATCTTATCCAGCCAATCACAGTCCATCCAATCACAAAGATTCATCCAATCAAAAGAGTTCCTTAGTTTCTAATCATTTTCAAGTTAAAGGTCAGTATTTCATGATCAAAAAAAAAACTTTATTAATAAGTTATTTTTAAAAATAGATAATTGACATTAAATTTAAATGCACAAACAATTTAATGATATGTCAATTTCTATATTTAGAGAACTTCCAGCAATCAAATGCAGGGCCTTTGACAGAATCGAGTAGGTTTCCAGGAAATGATAATATTCAGGTGGACTCCACCAAGTCTCTAGACACAGGTATTAAAACTGTCCCTACATCATAACTTCTGATGAGGCCTGGATTACCTAGTATAATGATTGTTTCTGGGCCTATATGGAAATTCTACAATTAATTGTCATTATCAGGCTTTTATCTACTGTTGTTGCTATCAAAATATTGGCTAACCTTTTAACGTTATTACAATGAATGACAGCGATTATTGTTTTATGTCAGAGGCCAGATATATGGCTATTGATAAGGATACATCAGTCTGATGTGTTTTTATCTCATGATTAATTAAATGGCTTGGTATCTGTAATGCTTTATGATAAGTGTATATGCAACTCACTAGAACTGGAAATTCTTAATCAGAAAAATACACAATATAACCTCTGTACAATATATGCAATTACTATACACTCTGCATATGATTGTTATTTTAATCTGTGTTCAAATCATTATTGATTCCCATTTAGTATATGACCTATCTTGCCTTTGGATATAGTCAGTGCATGGTCCTTAATTGGTACCCCATCATCTTTTATCTTAATATTCATTGGGAGCCTGGCTTTTATGTTCAGTTGTCCTCATTCTACACCTTTAATGATTTTCACACAATCATGATCTTAACTAAACATTCATTTTTGGAATCCAAGACACATACCCAACAAATCTGTTATTAATCATACCTTCTTCTAATATTTCTGATTTTGTCTTAACTTTCAGAATAAGATTGGATTAAAACATTAATACATATGGAGTACATGTACTTTAAAAGTCCATTTGAAATGATACTGTAATTTGAAAAAAAAGCCAAAATTTGGGGGTGGGGGTGTATTAATAGCCAGAGGTATATAAGATCAGTTGAAGATTTAGAATTAAACACAAATTTAACAAAATTGTAGTTTGTAAATTCTGTACATAGGTTTTGCTGATGATGAAGATTTAGACAATTCAAATAATCCGTCCCCTGACCAAGCCAAACCCCCAGGGGAATTTGAAGACCCAGAACTTTACGAAATTGCCAAAAAATTAAAAGAGCTGGAAGCTTCAGATTCTGAAGAGGATAATTTATGTGAAGGTGATTGGCCCATTTGTTTTGTTTATGTTTTTGTTTTTTTATTTTTTTGGTCCATTTATTTATTTCTTTTTTGTTTTTGCTTTTGGTAACCACATGACAGCTTTTATTAATTGTTGTGGTAGTATTAGCATAATCGCTTTTATTTCTAATTTTTGCACTGGTGGCGACATTTTTTTTTCAGTGTATTTATCTTGGGATTGATCCACATAACCTCCATCTCTGTTAGATTTATCCGAAATATCATTGCAGTGGAGAGATTTCTTGAAATTTCTTGTCCGCAGAAATATAGACAAATCGTAATAGATTGTCATTCTTTCGAGAGCTGTCCTAATGTTTTTACTGTTACCTATATGTACCACATTTGTACTGATCATTATTCCTATGCTGTGAATGACATTAACTTAATTCCTACTAACATATTACTAAACAACCTCTGAAATAAACTAACTGTATGGAATTTAATATTATATTTCATGGTCTCCACTAAACATATACATCTCATGGGTAAGATAAAGAGATAGGGAAAGTTTTATACATCCATTAAGGTTATTACAAATTTCTGCACATTAAAATCACCACTATTACACTGTATCAATAGACTGCAGAAACGTAATTTGACAGTTTGTATGATGGTGGACCGAGAGCTGAACTTTTTTCAGTGGCTTTTTACTGGATGCTGTTGTCTTTTTTCAGATCGAGGGGAAGACTCGGGGATGGATAGTCAGAAGGAGCAAAAGGTAAGGGCAGATAACTTTTGTCTATTTGGCATCATCTCATTACAGTACATATTAATTTTGGCAGTGTTAGCAATATATTTGTTTCAAGGTGTTATTAGACACATAAAATACTGAAATTTCATTGTATAAATGATAGGAATGGAGAACTGAAAATAGACCTCACACTTTGCCAATTTGGCTCCATGAATTGGTGTGAGAAGAATTTGTTGCCATTTTTATGCGATAACCATTTCCCTAAATTTGCCATAAAACTAGGATTGTTGTGACTGTTTTTATTTGATGTAATTAACAATGATGAAAATTCTTTGAGTCTATCAATATCTAGCAACTTTCATATAGTAAGAAGTGTGTTTACATCCCAGCAACAAGTTTAGCTACATTTCTGAAGTTATTAAGGGAAAAATCAATAAAATTTAATGGGAGAAATCCTTTGGGTGTATTCATGTACAAGCATGGTTAAAATATGGTGTTGAAAATAGTTTAATGACCGATAAATGGCAGAAAACAATGGTTAATTTTCCATTTTGGCTCATGTTGACTTGAAGAGGCATGATTTTGACAGATACAGTAAAACAAGGGCATTGTCATGAATTCAGTGGATTTTCATTCATCATTTTACATCATACTTTGCTGATCAGTAATTATAATCAATCCAACTATAATTTACAAGAATTATGAAAGAGCTAATTTTTCTGATAGATATATTTTTCTTTCAATAAATAAGCTAATTGATTGTCTATTTTCTTCTCAGATGCAAATAAATGCCGTAGATGACAACCGCTTGTCCATCCTTGCAAAGAAAGGTCCCATTCAAGTGTTCCAGGCTAAATACTCCTACGACCCGATCCAGTATTCACCCAATGAGAATCCAGATGCGGAACTTCCAATCAGTGCTGGCGACTATGTTCTGGTCTATGGAGAAATGGATGAGGTTGGCAGACAATTAGAAATATTTAAAAAATAAAAAATAAAAAAAAAAAACAACAACAAACAAACAAACAAACCCCAAAAAAACATCAGCTTAACTTTTCAATGATGAAAATAATTTCATTGTATGTATGAACATTGTGGAATAGGAGATTCACATTATGTACCATTGAAATAGAGGAAATGTGTTTGAATCATATCTTACACATGATGTGACCTAAAATCATGAAAATTAAGACATTGGTTTATCCTTGGACTTCAGTATCTTGTTATGACTTGTTTTCCTGTTGGGAGTATTGGCTCTTAACCTTGATCTTCAATTTTATACAGGATGGTTTCTATGATGGGGAACTTCTGAATGGTAAAAGAGGACTTGTGCCTTCAAACTTCATAGAAAAAGTATCAGGTATATTATATAGATTATTATTGAGTCTATAGTATCTAGATTTCAAATGAAGGATGAGTTTGAAACCAAATTTAAACTGTTTTAAGTGGGTCATGAACATAGATCCTTCAATCATCTTTAAATGTCGGTCCAATTTTTAAATTACAAGTTAACATCCCAGAAAAAGTGTGTACTCATTCACAACCAGGGTGGTTGAAACATCCCTGATATAGAATAATTTGCTTGAAAAACACCTGCTTTATTGAACACCTGCACACAAGAATTTGAACTGATTACCTCTTGTTAGCCAGCCTTATCTTTTATACCACTAAGCCATACATTCTGGCATGTAAATACAATGTTTTAAAAAATAATTACAGATGAAGATCTTGCTGAATTTCATGCTGCCATGTCAGATGCTAATCACCATGATGACGACAGTATCATTGGTAACAGCATACAACAGGACCTGGACTATGATAGCAGTGAGGACGTCGGAGCTAAGGGTGAGGACATGTTTAAATTGTAATATTTACCTGATGTGTTGCTTCACTCATTTTTATAGCCCAAAGATACACTTCATGTAGATTTGACTTTTGCTGAGATTTTTAAACTGCTGCAGAAAAATGGCTATATGGGGAGTATTATTTCATTTCCTCTCTTAATTCTTTTTAGTAAGATGAACTTACAATAGTGAATGAAAAAAATATTAGACTTGTAATTAATGCAGAGAATTCTCTCCTTGTTCAAAATCTGGTAAGGATTCAAAATCTCAGTCACCTCCTAGGTTGGACCTTGAAATATATGTGTAATTGTTGTCTAAAGGCTGGTAAAGACTGTGTAACAATATTCCTTACTGGGTTTGATTTATTTACTGCACAGTAGAGAGATGGTATGAATTTTAATGCCTTATTTTAGATTGGCTGTATGGAATAAGTATGTCGATAACGTAAAGGAAAGGTTTCCTTCTTTTTTCAAGTGAATCAATCATTTTTGTTCTGAAGAAATTAGTTCAAACAAATCTATGCTATCAATATATTAAGTTTATTGATTTTAATTTTAAGTACAATGTAGTTGACAACTACACTAGACTTCTCAAGTATAATTCTGCAGATTTGCCTCTGAATAGCAGTCATTAAGGAGATGAAAAATTAATGGCTTTTGTGCTTTAAACCATTGTAGAATCTGACTGAAAATCATATTTTATTTTATTTTTTTTTCATCAGACTCCAGACGAAAATCAGCAGATCTGAAACCTACATCTGACAAACTTTACCCACAAATAAACCAAAGCAGCAGTCGTTCAAACAGCCGTCCAGCTAGTGACCATGGTAGTGATGTAGATGACCTTGACCTCTTAGACAGTAGTAAAGCCTTGACCTCTATAAGGGTACAGAGTCAGCCATCAGATTCAAGTGAGTGAAGATTTACAATCATTGGATATTAATATTTCCAGGAAATGTTTTTTTTTTTCAATATAGTTTATATTCTAATAAGACTTTTATTGTTAGATTTCTGTGAAGTATTAATCAAATAAATTACGTGGATTATTGCCAATTTTCAACCAAAAGATTGGATGGAGGTAGAAAAATCAAACTAAAATACATGCAATTACAAAATGAGAGGAGATTTTTCAAGAATTTTATTTATTATAGTGTTGCCTTGTCCCAGAGAGCTGACCCTGGACAGACAGTTGACCAACAGTATTGTTATCAGCTGGAAACCACCACTTGACCACAACAAACTGGATGTCAAGTCATATCATGTTTATGTTGATGGAGTGTTCAAATCCCTGGTGCGCAAAAATGAGAGAACGAAAGCATTACTGGAGAATGTAGATTCAAAGGAGGTGAATTAATGTTTCACATAATGACACAATTCTGTTGTACGACTTTACAATTTTTATGCCCTCCTTCAAAGAAGGGAGGGCATATTGCTTTGCTGGTAGGTCTGTCTGTCTGTCTGTTGGTTCACCAACAGTTTCTGTTCATTTTCTTTGCAGAGATTGCACATACTGAAATGAAATTTAATATACAGATTTATTATAAGAATATCTAGGTCAAGTTCTGTTTTGGGTATGATCAAGCAATTTTTGACAGAGTTATAAACCTTAAGGCTTGTGCACCCTATAATGTATGTCTGGGGGGGGGGGGGGGGGGGGCAGAAGTGTTTCACAAACATCTCTTGTTTTATTTGTAATTTGTTCTTTATATGTCCTGAAAACAGAGAAGATAAAGATGAATGAATTGGTTCATTCTGTTGATTTTTTTTTTTGAGTGTGTATGTTTAGAGGTACTGTATTTGACCCATGAAGCACCCAGGGTGCATAGAAAATTCCAAAATTTCTGTTATTAAATTTGTTAAAATCATCTGAGGCCAATGAAGAATAGAAATGTTTCTTAAAGTAGGGCATTTATTGAAATTTCGTATCTCATTTTCATATCACTGTTCTCATAGTTTAATTTGAATAAATATTCTGATATTTTGTTACAGGTCCATAGAGTCAGTGTACGATGTAACTCAAACATGGGCCAGTCAGCTGACAGTCAGTGTACCATGCTGGTGGGCAAAGGTCAGTCTAATTACCCAAGATATACCCATGTACAGCTAGTCAAGGACGTGCACTATAGCACAGCAAGTTTTCTTTTATATAATTCGTATTCATTTTATTGGCATAATTAACCTTTCACGTGGACTTTTTTTAATATCATGGAAATCAACTTCAAACTTCTTAATGAAATAAAGCTTCTCTGTCCATCAGCAATTTCTGATGCAGTAATGGTGATATTTTTGAAGGCTTTGGCTTCTATTTTCTTCTAAGAAAGTAACAGAAAAATTTCACATTTTGAAAATAATGTGAGATTAGCATTCTATTTTATGAAATTTATAATTCTATAACACTATGTTGTACTATTTATAACCTCTGCTTGAAAAAAAATGATACTTGTGCTTTTTAGCTGTGAATATTTTTAACCAGCACTGTATGATTCTGTCCTCCACTGATTTCACCTGTATCTGGCCTTCATCTACCTTGAACCTTTTTCGTTACCTTGTCTAGATGCCGTTCCTGCTCCTAGCGACCTGAAAGTTAGCGAAATTACTTCTAACTCCGCCCAAATCTCATGGTTACCGGGTAACAGTAACTTAAGCCACACCCTAAGTGTTAACGGACGAGATGTTCAAGTAGTCAAGCCAGGGCTATGTGTTCATACACTGACAGGTAGCAAACCAAGATATACTGACAGTTCAGGTTCAGAAGATATGTCCTATGTTGTATGTGAATGATATGTGGGTCTAGGAAGGACAAAAGCATCTTCTGAGTTACTAATAAATATCCATGTAATCAATTTAACTATTTAGGGATTTTAAAAAAAATGTCCCTAATCTCATGGTTTTGGAATTTTGGTCCTTTTTCCTTGTTTTTATTATCCCTACCATTGCTAGAAATGTAAGATAATATCACTCAGTATAAATGCTTTTTTGCATATATAATATTTATTGTATAATGTATTATAAGTGTATTGTTAGAGTTTGTCAAATAGACATGTATCTTAATTCTGTATACCAGTACTTTTGAAATTGTGGGTGCCATGGTTTTCTTTTTTATTATTTGTATGCTAGAATTTATTTTATAGCATAAAAAATTATTCTTGCAATTTAACTGTGATCTTATTGTAATTCGTCTTAAAATGGCATTACTGTGATAAAAACAGTATTTACAATGCAAGCACACACATTCCTAAGCAATTCTTAATTCCTTTGTAAAAAGGAATAACAAATTAATAGGAATAACATGCCATGTGGGTTCTCTTATGCCGACCTTAAAATCTGTAAACCAAATATTAAACAAGGAGTCATTTGTGACAAACTGAATCTGTCCTATCCTCCGCATGAATCTTTGCCATATCCTACATCATTGCATGCAGTGCATTCGTTGAATTAGATTTTTAGACATTGGTAGAATTAATTGACATACTTTGTAATTATAGGGCTGGCCCCTGCCTCAGAACACAAGGTGTCGATTTCTGCTGACAGCCTGTCCAGCAACAGGAAGGATCACTTGTCAGCGTTTGTCGTCTTCAAAACAGCATCTGGAGGTTTGTGTTTTTTCATGGAACAAATTTTGCTTAATGTTCAGTTTTTCAACCATATTTTAATGTTGTTTAAGAATGTGCCACCAGGGATCAACTTTTACCTAGAGCATTGTGCAGTACAAACAGAATATTCATTAGAGCTGTAAAATGTGTACAAATAATGTTGAAATCTAAAAATCCAACATTTCTGAAGTCTGTCTGGAGTTTGTTAATTTTCTAAGTAAGCTTAAAAAAGTAGTGGAAAATCTGTCTTTTTTCTAGTTGCTTGCATTATTATAGGTAATTTTTTGTAAATGTTTCATTTGACTATATAGGTGTCCCAGAGCCTCCATTAAATGTCCAGGTAGAGGCTGGACCACAAGAAGGCACACTGCTGTTGACATGGATACCGGTTACCATAGATTCCTCTGGCTTCTCCAATGGTGCAGTGGTAACTGGTTACATGGTGTATGCGGATGGTAGAAGAGTGAAAGAGGCACAGGGTCCAACAAGTAAGTGGGGAGTTGATATCACTTGTGTACTGTTATCAAGGAAGGTTAAAGCAAAGCAGTTACTATGATGCAATAGAGAGAGAGAGAGAGAGGAGGAGGGGGAGAGAGAGAAAGATGCCTTCTTACAACAAAAATTTGCTTTAGCATACATGTATTGTGTAGTTTCATGATTCAGATTTATATTTTACCAGAAAGATGTCTTATAAATAACACTAGTAGTTTGTTTCTTCCTATTTTCTCACATTTCATTGAACTGTTATATTTATGGGTACTTTACAATAACTTTTATTTTTTTCTTTCAGATGACCACATCATTCTGAATGCTGATGATTTCCAAGCCTTCATTCCCAAACAACTGTTGGTCCGTACAGTGACTGCAGACAAAACAGAATCTTCTAACTCGGACCCAATCAAATTACCCCACTCACTCATACAGGAAATCACAGATGGGGCAGCCAAAAGGGTGACCAAGGACATGCCAACTAAACAAACAGTCCAGGTATATTGAACTTTTTTCTTTTTTTTTTTGAAAAAGACTAAAATTGAGTTTTAATTGTTCTGATTTAAAAATCAACTTAAAATTTATTCAGTGTGTACAGTGTATTTAGATAAGAAAGCAATTATTTTATGCAAAATAATTTGTTAAAATGGGAAGTATGAAGCTCTTTAGAAGTGCATCCTTATTTTTCAAAATAAATGCATCATGCTTTTCATAATGAAATTCTTATATCACTGCATTGTGGAAAAAAGAAATGGTTACATTTTTGGCATTTGCCCCTGATTTCTGAAATATTTTTAGACCTCAATGCCCCTAAACTCAATCGTACCAGAAATTTCTGAGGGAGACGAAGACATTGATACTGTCATAAATCGCATTGCGGCTGAAGCAGAACGCAACATGGTAACTATGTCAACCCATTTCTGCCAGAAATTTTCATGTGCACAGCTTGCTACACAAGCCTTTCTCCTCTTTCCTCACTGTCCAATTGGTTTTGTTCTTTTCAGCTACACTTTTTTTTGTTTCAAAATTAAGGATTATCACACAAACTCAAAATCCTGTATAGGTACTTGTATTATGGCAGTCACCAAGACACGCAGGACATTTATAAATCTGTTATGAACTTGGAAATCAACTATGAATATGCTACCTCAGTGTGTATTATTACCTGAATAGTGAATAACCCTTTGCAGTTGGATGATCTTTTCAATGAATTTGAAAGCATACTGTCAGAGATTCCAAATTTTAAAAAGACTTTTATGACATTCACAGTTACTTAGTTTGCCTTCTAAATTGTTATTAAAAGATTAGAAATGAAATAAGAGATTGTTGAATGCTTTAAGTTCTGCAACAGATTTACCCTGATTGTTATATTTCCTTCAAAATTGGGTTCTTTTTTGTTGTTTCTTTTACAAAAATATGTTTTTGTTGATGTACTTTTGCATGTATCTGTCTCACTTGTTAACATGAAGACTGCCACACTAACATGATACTAATTCCTAAGACACCAAATACTAGGAAGTTAAATGTATACTACGTAATCCCATTTGTAGTGGAAAATTATCATTCCTTGTATTTATCTGAATATGGGAAAGGGCTGGGGGATTTAAATAAAGGATTTCATATTGCATGAATTTGTAGTGAATTATGGGATACACACTTCCCATCTTTATAAATGAGAAAGAAGAAAAAACCCAGTAAGTGTATACAATACGGTGCTTGTATCATGTATATCAAACCTTGGGAAACTGAAATAAGCATATACATGTATAGGAGAACATAACATAATGTATGACACTATCATTAAATACAAAATACTTTATCTAATAATGAAGTGTTAGCGTTACTAACATTTTTTCTGAATTTGAACTTTTGAGCTTGTGCACATTTAAAACCTTTCTTAATCTTCACACTTTTTCAAATTTTTATTGTGATTTTGCTCTTTTTGAAATCCTTTTATAAATTAATTAATAATGAATTATTGCTCTTTTAATGAAATTGCTGTAAAGTTAAGTTTAATGAAATCTAGCAGTGAATTCTATATACTATACTTTCTACGAATAATAATTGAAATGCTTAAGCTTTTATCAATAACAAGCATGATATATAACACTGGTCATCTAACAATATGCATGGTCTCTTCATTTGGTCTGGACACCAAAGATTGTGCTGGAGACCAAAAAAAAAAAATCTTTTTACGGATTATGGAAAATTATGGGTCTGAACATCCAACAGTAAGGTATATTCCTTTGAGAAGGAATGATCCAGCACATTCTTTGCTAACTAGGGCCACCTGTTTCGATTTAACAGAGTCCAGTGCTAGACAATATCGAATACGACGATGATTTTATCGAGGCTAGCAGCACCTCAGAGCTTTCTGACATTCCAGAGGAGGTGGAGGAGGAATTTTCCGAGGAGGTCCCTCAAGGGCCTCCCACTAAACTCAGCCCTCAACTGCTTAACGGTCATGCATCACTTGGCAAGGTTAGACACACAGAGTGTGAACCGAGTGCACCCTTGTACTAATGCATCATGGGAGAAAAGCCAGTCGATGTCGTTTGGTGGTAGATTTTATAACTGGCATTTGGTGCATTGTAGTAGAGCTCAGATTTGATTTAATTATGGTGTTGAATTGTGTGGAGTTGTCTTGATTCTTTTAATGATACCATGTTGAATTGTGTGAAGTTTTCTTATTTTTCTTGAATATAAATAAAGGTTTAATTTACAACTAGCTGGTACATGTAGTGTGTGTTTGAAAAGATTTTTTTCAAAATTTAAATCTGTTTGAATTGATAAACTCAACTCAAAAAAATATGTTTCATTTAGTGGATTTCAACATAACACATAACACTACATACATGTAAAATGAAAAGGGGAAATCAGTAGCATGTATAAAATAGTCCCCCCCCCCCCCAGCAATCCTCCACAAATCAGTACAATTATTTGTTCTCACTGTCCTACCACCTATCTTGCCTGAACATTGTATCTCTGTATATTTATGTATAGCAGTTTGCTGATTGCTTGTGTGGTCATTAGTTACATATGTAGAAATTATGTCTGAATCAATCAATTGTTTAAAAAAAATATTAATTTCAGAAATTATATAAAACACATATGTTATAAAACACTCATAAAATTTTAATGGTAGAATATGGATAAGAATAGTTGCTGTACCTCAAAACAAATTTAAAAAAAAATGTGAAACCAACATTAAATCATGTTTTTTTATCAATTACAAAATCCTTTGATAGAATTCAGGTGCAAAGGCACTAACAGCAACAACTCCTCTCAGATCTAATGAAACATCACCAAGGCAGACAAGGTCATCTCCAAGGATACCAGCAATTGGTAAGTATAAATAGCATTGACTTTATTTGTATTTATTTTATTTTTTTTTTTTTTTTGCTTTTCAACACAAATAATTAAAATGTGTTTAAATACCTGTGCATTAGGCCTAATATGTAAAAGCAATACATTCTACCTACAAATGTATTAAAAGGGATTTAGAAAAAAGTTCCATTGAAAAACAAAATGGATCTCTTTTTTCAGAAATAACGAGGGACAGTGGCAGTGAGAGAGGGAATTCTGTGGATATATCAGAAGAGGAGTTGGACATTTCTAAATCTCCAGTCAAAACTAAGAGAACAGTGCCCCATGGTCATGTTCAGGATGGTGCTAAGGGCCAACATAGAAATATTTCCCCAGCCTCAACAAGTGCCAGTGTTTCTCCAAGTGAGGAGGTTGTTAGTAATGGACGCCATTCAAGGCATTCCCGTGAGGCTTCACCTCAAAGGGACAGTCATGTGACTAGTGACCTCAAACACAAAAATGACAAAAATATGTCCAATCACACCGCCACAGATCCGCGGAGGAGGCTTTATCCAGAAAGTCATATGTCTCCTAAAAACGGTGACGGTTCACATCCAGAACATGGATCTGTCAAACCTCACAGGAGGAGTCCGGGTCACGGAAGTCCACGGAATAGCCCCCAGAGGGGGAGTCCTCGGAGGGTGAGTCCTCAAGGAGATCATAGTCCACACAAGGATTTAACGGACAGCAAGACTTACAGTGATTCAAATGCTAATGATGTGTCACAAGACTCCACCATTTCTGACGGGAGGTTGGATAATAGCGGTGTTCATCATGTTCCACAGTTGGATCTGTCAGACTGTGATGACAGTGGAGATGTGGATTCCATCAGTGGAGAAATTAATCCACCTATTGAGGACAATCGGATTCGATTGTTTGTGGCTTTGTTCGACTATGACCCAGAAAGCATGTCACCTAATGTTGAATGTCTGGATGAAGAACTACCCTTCAAAGAAGGGCAGATAATCAAGGTAATGACAATGTTTTAGGTTGATAAAAGTTAGTTAATTACTGTAAAAAAACAAATGCTACAAATTTCTTTTTTTCAGAGGCAGAACAAAATCTCCCTGATATCACTTCATTTTTCATTGACCTTTACACAAGCTTTTCTAGAATAGTGTGCATTTTCTGTATACTCACTTAAATTTTAGAACCTAATTCTGTAGCTCTCACCTACTTAACCTGTTTATCAAATGTATATATTTCTTGATTTCCCTGGGGGTCAGTGACTGATCAAACAAGTTTTCTCACCTTGTCTTGACTGTATAAATTAATAGCACCATGCAATCTAGACTACAACTAATTATTTGTCAACTCATTTTAAGATATGTTAGTTAGAATTTGAAAATTAAAAGAAAAAATCCTCAAATAAATAAATTCTTATATCTTATAATGCAAAGAAACATCAGCAAAATAAAGTAGTACATTTATATATTATGAATTTTTTTATTTTGAAATTTGATTGAAGATTTGTATTTTTTCCTGCTTTGTTAAAGATTTATGGTGATAAAGATGCTGATGGTTTTTACCGGGGAGAGAGTAATGGTCGAGTTGGCTTCGTGCCATGTAACATGGTGTCAGAAGTCCAAGTCGAGGACACAGAACTGGCAGAACAATTACTCAAAGAGTCGCAGACGGGCTACAATCCCAGCATCCATTTATCCAGTGAGTGCAATCTAAATTTGTCACAGCTTCTACATTTTTAATAAACATGGAATTTTTTTTCTCTCAACCAAACATTAGGCTGATTTTCACTTCATATTTTGTACAAATGAAGTGCTTATACCCTTGAGTATCCCATACACAAAAATTATTCTAAATAAGAAATTTGTGAATAAGCATTTATAATTGTTCCAAATAGACTTACAAACCTGTCTTGTGATTAAATACAGTTTTATCTGTACATTTGTGTAGCAGATAACTACATGAAGCCTGCAGACCTTGGGAGTAGATTGAGTCCTGCCAAAGTCTCCACAGTGACGTCCAGCACACAGGCCAGAAAAATGGTGGCACTGTACGATTACGATCCACAAGAACTATCTCCTAATGTTGATGCTGAGGTAATGATTTAATTATGACAATAGCAAAGGTCAGTGGAATAAAAAAAATCACTATTAAGAACTATTTGCTGCAATGAGAGCTTGATTTTATCTCTGGAGGTATGAAATGATGACTGAATTGATGATACATTGTATTTTGCAAATCTGTAATTTACATCGAATACATGCACTAGGTACACTGTACTTGTATACACTGTATATAAAAAAGTTTAAAATTTTCCAAAACAGGAAATTTTCATATCGCTGAAAATAAAAGTATTTCTTAGTAATTATTTTATCAAATTTGTAGCTGGAGCTGGCCTTCAGAAGTGGTGACACAATCATGATATATGGTGACATGGATGACGACGGATTCTACATGGGTGAACGCAATGGTCATCGAGGACTTGTCCCCTCCAATTTCTTACAGGAGGCTCCCCTAAGTGACGACGAGGTCCTTGAGAGTGCCAGCATTGTCTCCCCTGCCAGGTCAGGCGAGAGTCTCAGTAATTTGTCGCGGCACTCTGACCTCACGGCGGACAAAGTAGGTGGTGCTGTGTCGACATAGGCATGCATGTGTGGAAATTCACCTTTTGTGTTCAGTTCAATCTCAATAATCCTACTCTGCAAACATGATTTTTCTATTTATAATGATTTTTGAGTCATTTTTTGCTACTACCTATATCTTTATTTTTGTTGCTTTAACTTTGGTATGGAAATTAAGAAAGCATTTTCATAAAGAATTTGAATTTATTATTATTTGCAAATTAATTTCAAACATAATCGTGATTGAAGTGAATGATATTAACACAAAGTACTTAATAACATTTTTTAAAAAGCTTGAAAATTACCATGATTTTAATCTAATGAATGTTTGATTGTAAAGTGAATTTAATATAAAGGCACAATGTATTCTTATAATGAAGAGAGGGAGATAACTCCAAACTGAGACTGCACTTCCACTTAGAACTGCAGATGAGGACGTAGTTTTGCTGTAACTCTATAGGCTTCCCACAATACACTTGCATGCTGTGTAGTACAGAACCAGTCGTGGAAATCGTCACTGCTTTGTCAGAGGAGCTAATGCTCTTGTTAGGAATATTTATTCACACTGCCACTCATCAAAACTTTCTTCTTCTTTTAACAGAGATATCGGAAAAAGTGGTTTGTAAAAATTGAGCCAATATTGCAATTCACTCATTTTATATATTTAGTTATTACACTTTTTTATCATGATCAAAAATTTTTTTTCTCTTTTAGTGCACCATATAAGTGTAGTGCTCACACACTCTCTGTTTCTTATGTATATTCCTTTACAGAGCATTTCCTCCTCAAAATGAGGGTTAGTTTGTTTACAAAAGCTTCATATAATTTCTTTGATCATTAAGGGAAGAAATATATGAAGCTTGTGAATTTTTTTCTTTTTTTTTTACTTATGATTGCCAAATTCTGTAATGTTTTTAAGTTTGGGAGTGTTTTTATTTCAATTTTTGTGTGGAAAGAACAGTTTTTGTGTTTGCAGAGCTTGCAAAAATACTTTTTGTGTTATATGTGTACATTTTATAAATATTCATATAAAGGCAAATGATTGGGGGGTGGGTAATTTGGGGTCATATAGTGATATCGATTGCTTTGTTTTCTGCATTGCCAGAATGCTTTAATTAGATTTGCTAGTACAATATGTATTTTCAAATAAAAATTATGATCGTACAATTAAATCTTATTTATAACCGAGAATCATTATTAAATGAACCGAGTTCTAAATTTAAAAGTTTAAGCACACTTATTTTTGTAGAAAGTCTGGGTTTGGCATGCACATGGATGCTACATTTTCATCTCACTAAAGCATATAACACAGATTCATTTAAAGAGAGTTATAAAATTTTGAAAAGTGTTAATTTTCCTTTGTGATGGGTCACTTAGGAATTTTTAAAGATTTCAACTTTTACCATTTTATACTCAGTAATAGACAAATTCACAGGTTTTTCGTAAACAAATTTTTATTATCTAGTATATTTTTATACATTTTTTTTTGCACGGAGAGCAATATGTGATTTTTGTACAAAATTCACCTTAGGTTTACAATACATTGTTTCAGCACTAGGTTAATAATATTTATATAGGTACAAAAAAGACTTACAATGCAAAGAATGTTCTTGTAAGTGTTAACAATGTCTACATTCTAAAGAGATAAAAAAGCAAATTTAAAGCCAAATAGGGAAGTCAAACTTAATTTTAAAAAATATATTAATGATTAAGCATGGATATATTTGTATCAGTTACCCAAACCATTTGTTAATGCACTTATTTTATCATAAAAGATATTTTTTAATGGCACCAGTAATTGTTTGATGATTGTATAGTCATTGTTCTTGGCAAATAATTAATTTTTGAACTCTCAAATTCTTGCAGACGCAGAAAGTGGGACTTGGCTCACAATTGGACCAACAGCTATCACATGATACAGTGAATTCAGTAGCCAATCAGAATCTCCCTCCATCGGAACAGAGACCCTCCTCTCCAGAGGACGTGAAGCATAAAAAGAAGAGCTCTAGTCTTCTATCCAAGGGCAAAAATATCTTTAAAAAACTCACTCGATGATGAATGTTGATGGCTTCTGCCAGGAAGTCAGCTTGTGTTGTCCTTACCTCGTCCAGTCCTGGAAATGGATGCTAATGTATGTGTGCAGATTCTTTGACACTGATTAATTGTCAGTGTATGATGTTAAAAACTTCAGATTAAGTGCCATTTATTTGCTGAATAAGTTATGTGACATATAGACTAGGAAAAAAGAATCATTTTGGAAAGAACTTGTCTCAGGTATTTGAACTTCTCCCTCTTTTTCTGCCAGTAGTTTATATGCCAGTCATATGCTTTAATCCAATGTCTCTAGGACACTGATATTACCTACACATTTTCTTGCATTTTGTGTTGTACAATTTGAACATCATTTATACTTCTTCTGTCATGTGACAGGAAGTAGCTGTCTTGAATCATGTGACTGGTTGTGAATTTTTATTTGTGAGTTATGATAATAGAGAATAAAGAATGTTTGTTTTTGTAAAGCCAAAGAGTGAGAGAAATGTATAAGGGGAGAAAAATCTTGAGTTTCTTGCCAGTTCTTGATGTGTGTAAATGTTAGCATGTGGTACATGTAATCAAAAAATGCTGCCATAATATTTTTACTACAAGGAAGGTGTATGCTGCATTTTTTATGTTTAATGATGTTAGAAAGTAATGGACTTTATTTTACAGTGCTTTGTTACCATGTGAAATGTCTGTGATAAACCAGTTATTGACTTGTACAGGTACTGTATTCTCAGAAATATGTACCACATTCCAAAATCAGATATTGACTGTATATTCCAAGAAAAATAGAATTCCATGCTTTTATAAATTTTAAATGCAATACTTAATAGAGGAAGTCCATTCCAGGTTTATGTTTTAAAAAAAGGTAATCAAAGTTTATCTTTGATTGTATTTAATGTTAAGGTGTACAAATTATGTTTAATGCCAGACATGAAAAAACTCTGATAATGGAATTGTTCCCATACTATGTATACTAGGTGCTATTGTGTGTTGTGATATATTTGAGTAATCCAATCTGTGCCTATCTAGGTATCATACTATGAAGTTGATGAGGAGAAAATTCACTATGTCAGTTAAGTCATTAAATGCTCTTTTCTGTTTCAAAACAATGTTTTTTCATTATTTGTAGTCAGCAGCCAGCGAAAAGGTAGATTTAATACTCCAGACAACAGTCAGTAAATGAGCATGAGTTAATGCTTATTGGTGTTATTTTTTAAGGATCATTAACTTTTAATTTGCAGAGAAATTATTGTGGAGAATGAAAATGTGAAGAAAATATTTAGTACACCCTTTGATGAAATAGAATCTCATGTTATTATATAACGCTGAACACGATCATTTTCTATGATTCCCGTAAATTACTGATTAAAACAATCTTAAGTACTTTGTTATTCAGACGTACTTGATATTATATACAGGGCCTCGTATGTTGTTGGGGCAGATCTTATTTATTCATGTAGAAATGTGTATGGTATTGTACAACATCCAATGTATTTATTGTTAAGTTTTTGTATGAAATAGGACCATATGTGATGTGATTTCAGAATAAATTATTTTTTGCAAGTATATCAGTATTTCATTGCTAAATGTAATTCTGGGTGCCATCTCACCTGTATTCCTCATTGTTACATCCTTAAAAAATTGTTTCCAATATAAATCTGTACTTTAATAGGTCTAACATTACCAATGTTTTTACCTCATTGTTACATCCTTAAAAAATTGTTTCCAATATAAATCTGTACTTTAATAGGTCTAACATTACCAATGTTTTTACTGAACATGGGTCCAAAAAATATGATCTTGGACCGCTTGGTGAGATGTTGGACTGTTATGACATATGACAACTTACATGTAGTTTGCATTTGTTGGTGGTCAGTAAAAGAATTGAATGAGTTGAATCTGGTAAATGAAAGGACTGTTATGTGATAAGGGTCTCAAGTGGCCCCCAAATATGAACATCTTAATTTTACTTTATGTATAGGTTTACACAGCTATACAGCTGACATTTATTCATGTTTTTCAATTTGATCCAAATGCCCTTAATTTAGAAAAAATAGCATCACCTTTTCCAACAATTTTGGCATATTTTGTGTAAAATTGCTCATTCTAAAGTAATTTTTCTTCCAGAAAATATTAAGTACAGATTGGAACAAACATTATATATTCATCAAAGCTGTATATATCAAAAACTAATTAGTACATACAAAAAAAATTTCTGCTTGTTCAAGCTGCACTCTATGTTTCACTTAGAACAAAACATCAGAAACAAGATGTGTTTATGAAACACTGATGGTCCCTGTATGGCAGGTCAAGGCCAAGGTTTAAGTTTTTCAAATGTATGTCAAACTCCAAGGTCAAAGTCAAGGGTTAAAAAATTGTTGGTACCCAGAGAAAGTTCATGTTACAAGGAATACACATGTGAAATATGACAGTCATAGTACCTACCATTCAGAAAATATGAAAATGTTAGAAGTTTTTTCAAAAGTAGGTCATACTCCAATCAAGGTCAAGTCATGAGGTCAAAAATATTGGTACCAAAAGAAATGTCTTGTCTCAAGGAATAAATAAATGAAATATGAAAGCTGTAGCACCAACCGTTAAAAAGTTATGGCAAAGGTTTAAGTACATGTAAGTCAAACTACAAGGTGAAAAATATTGGTACTAAAAGAAAGGTCTGGTCACATGGAATACAAATGTGAAATATAAAAGCCCTACCACTAACTGTTCAAAAGTTATGGACTAGGTTAAAGTTTTTATGCACAAAGAGACAGATAGACCAAAAACTATATGCTCCCAAATCTTTGATTACAGGGGCATGAAAATGCATATTTTTGTCTCATTTTGATTAGATTCTAAAAATAGCACCATTTCAGACGTCATATACTTCCAGTGAGTACATTTAAATGAGAAAAATAGATGGAAGAAGTATCTTATGTAAACTTTTTTTTACAAAATTACAGAACAGTCTAACCTTCCTTAACTCTTTTGAAAATGTTGATTTATGGGGACCAAAATTGTATGTTGTCATATATTCATTTATAGTCCTTTGTTATCTGCATTGCAAACGTTAACATGAAAGTCGGTACAAATTTTTAAAAGAATACAAAAAAATTATTGACTGGGTTCCTGGGGAAAATGCAATTTGCACAAACCTGTTATTTTTGGCTTTACAACTTCAGAAAATTTAGTTTGGTTCTTGGGTCAGACAAAATGCATGTTTCCTAGGCCTGAACCCAGGAATTAATTTGGGTTTCCAGCATGGACAGATTTAATTACTATTATGCCATTCATATGAAAACCTTTGTGAACAGGATGAATTTTAATAGATTTTGAATTTTAGGAAATCTATTGTTCCTTAATTGATTTACATTTAACAGGTAAACAGGGTCTGTTATATCCAACGCAACAGTGCAAATCAACACCATATTTAACTATAGAGGGCTATTTGACAGCCATGAATTTTCTACAATTTTTAGCATAAAGAACAACAATTGTTTTGTTGTAAAAGCTTCATCTTCATCAACAAGAACTTAAAGTTAATGTACTCAAACTTTTTAGGGAACCATATAAGTACTTTTTGGTAGGTGAACTCAAGTTATGAATAAAATTCCTACAAGGTGTAAGGGTCTCAAAGACACCTTGGGGGTGTAAAAGTTGGAAACTATGTCAACAAAGCTTCCTTAATTCATCACCTTTATTTTTCAACAAAATAAAAAAGTAAAAAAACGCATATAAAATCATCTAAGGTTGAGTACCGATGGACAAAATAGCCACACGACAAAGGCTTTTTTTTACACTGAAGTTTAATGCTGACATTGGGCACAACAGACTGATTTCGATGACGTCATCCTAGTAGTACTCCCAAAACGCTGAAATTAAAAAAAGGTAAAATATGGTCAACTAAATTTAATATTGCAAAGAGTTACAATTCTATGTAACAAAATAATGTTTGAAGTTGATAAAAGGGGTTTATTATGTTGCTACATTGTATCATTATTCTTTTTTTTTAAGTCCTGCGATGATTTACAACCCCCATGTTCATACTCGTGATAATTCAGAGCCAATTTGTGCCTTTATTAGTGGCAGACCTTTAGCTTTAGGATGGTTTGATATAAGTTTAGAATTTTTCGTATCTTTATATTTAACTTGAGGACCGACGGAAAGGCATCAGGTTTTGCCTTTTTAAAGTGTACTTCAGTCTATTGCTACTCGGACCTTTAAATACATGAAAACATACCATGATGTCTAAAATGGTCTTGGAGCAATTGGAACAGGTACTGGTTGACCTACTGGAACAAGGGGGATTGTAATGACTCTAGGACGACGATTAAACAGCGAGAACATGTTACGTTTAGGAGGGAGAAGAATTATGGGTGGTGGTCTTATAATTGGCAGTGGTACAGGGCGTCGTCCACTGAGGTTTCTTCTCATTTCGCCACGGGCTCCAGGGACTAGGCTTGGCATGTAAGCGTTGTAAGCAGGTTGACCCCGTCTCCTTGTGGACATGGTGCCTTGGCCGAGCGTCAATCCAGCATTGGAGGGAAGGTCTAGATCTGAATCTCCAAAATTAGTGTAAGTGACGTCTCCGAGGGAACCTTGTCCGCCTGCTGATCCACCAAGTCCGAAGCCGGTTTGTCCCAGACCCGTACTGGAGACATCTCCGAAGCCAGAGTTGACGCCCATGGAATCCAGAGCAGTGGGATGCTCGCCGAACATCATTGATCCCGAGGGTGTTCCTAAGTCAGAGTTTATGCCCATTGATCCCATAGAAGAGAGTCCCATATTTGCTCCAGTGCTCTGGCTAAATCCGGAATCCATACCTAGTCCGGTTTGCTGACCAAAAGCAGTGTCCTGGTTCACGTCGTTAAAAGATGTTCCAAGGCCACCAGAGGTATCCATGATCATGTTCTGATTTGCAAGAGCGCCGGAAAGACGGCCATTTAATCTCCTGCCACTGTTGTTATCATAGATACCTGCTCTTTGAAGGTCTGGTGCATTTGGAACTGGCGGAGGGAAATCAAGATTCAAAGTTGAAGGAAGCTCTGGAGCGCCATTCAGTGACGTTCTCTGACCATTTATGATGGTTAAGAATCCAGCTAAAAATGTGATGTACAAAGTGCTACGTAACATGTCAGCCGTTTATTTAAGAATATGCAGAAATGTTTATTGCAACCTTCTTATATACGATGTCACGACAACTTGCACCTAATTACTCGGGATGACTGACTTTCTTTCTGACGGGTATTCAGCTCTACCAGCCAATAGATAGAGGTCCCTCTTTCCTCGGCAGATATTTTCCTTCTGGGTAGACTTGCAAATACTAATGCTCAAAGTCCAACACCAATGCAAATTACTGTGGTTGGTTAGACTAGCAAAGGTGTTGTATGGACAATATTTATTGACAGTAACGCGTAAATCTAGTGTCTGTCGTCTCCTGATGAGGCAGATGCACTTGTGTGTTCATGCTTTTATAACTGTCCTCAAAATATTTATTCAAAAATAATATTTCCAGTTTATATTGTTTTCAAGAGAAAAAAAATAGGAAGGAGCAGGGGGGTTGTAATACTAGTAACCAAATTGGATAAATACACCTTTTCTCTAATATTTATTGTACCTACCAGTTTACACACTTCGTCCAGAAAACGGTTACAAAACAAGGACTATGCAAAGAAAGGCATCCTAAATAATCTGTAATTTAATCCTTCAGGCATTCCAAGGACCAGTGTGTCGGGTATTACCGGAAAGAGGGGTGTGAGTCTGTTTCTAAATCTCATTCCATCACGGTGATCATACCGTGGTGTGAACAGAAATCTGTGGAAGTCTTGTTTAAGAAACCTCAGGTTTCTATTGTTTAACCCCGTGTTAACCCTTTTCCGCGTCTTCCTGTAAACTTTTCCATCATAATAAATGCCCTCTTTCTCACCTGGTCTTAAAGGTCTTTGCTTCTTAAAACTCTTTTCAAAAACGATACCATTATCCAAGGGAAAATTGCCTATTGTGGGTTGAAGATAAAGACTGTTACTGGTTGGTTCCATAAAGCCAAAATTAGGTTCCACTGGTCGGAACATAGAGCTGATGGGTCGATTACGAGTGTTCAGTATAGTTGGTTGTCTTTGACTTTTGGCATTATTGATAAGAAAATCTCTTTGAAAAGGAATGCGGATAAAATTTTCTGGATTCTCAAAAGTTCCAACAATATATGGAAAGTGGAAAGAAGTATCTCTTTGAAGCGTTTCTTTGCTGATGAATGGAATGTTTTGAATTGCTTGGCTTAGTCTAGCTCTTGATCCCAAATTTGGCTGAAGTCGCAGAATTTGCGGAGTCCTTTTGCGGCCTTTTGAAAATATCTTTGAAAAATTTGGCGGATCAAACAAACCGTACACATTTGTTAATACGTCCTGATCATTAAGCTTAAGCCTGCCAGGTGGAGTTTGCAGGTTGAAGGCATTTTGATACACGGAAGATCTTGGAAAGTTCAGTTTTTCATCCAAAAACACTTGACGAGAATTTAGCAAAACTGGATTTTTCGCTCTCAGTTGATCATTTAAGGCGTATGAAAGGGATCC